ATACAAATAATTGCCCTTGCTGTTTTTGGATTTAACCTATTTCTGGTTTTTGAAATAGCTAAACCTGAAATCGAAAAGGCCCTTTCTGATGGAACTGACATTGATTGGATTGTTAAATAATTCAAGAAAACTGAAGAAACATCTGAAATATTGTCATCATTTTTATAAGAAATATCACCAGACATATTTGTAATACAAATAATAATGCAAAACGAATGTAATTTTAGTTAAAATGATCAATGATCAATGCGTTTTTTCAGTTACGCACATTATCTATTTAAATTAGATTGATCATCTAAACCGGTCTAAAAATCAGTTCGATTCGACTCGATTTCAGTTCGATCTTAATCCTATAACCGAACTGAAACTGGTTCTATGATCAGACTATGGTCTGAACTGTTTAATCACAGACTTTAACATCCCTACTTACGCATATCATTATCAATTAACGAATATGTCATAATTCAAGTCATTCTCAGTTTTAAAACACGAAAAGAAGTGATTTTTTATTTTATTTACACGTAAAATAATAATGACCACTAGACTATCAAAAGAAACAATTTCATTTCTTTATCATCCAGGTAAGTATTTTCTCATTGCCTTAATAAGCTTATTTAACCTCACTGCTAATACTAGCTTCTTCTAAGAATACTGGAATAAGCCTCTTGGGGAATGGGGAGTTAACGATTGGGATTTGTATTACATTATAAAGTACCTGAAGTGAACAGACGTGAATCTCATAATACGTTTGGAGCTGAGCTAAAAATTCTTCTTGCATTACTACTGGAAAAAGAACCCTAGTATCAGTACGCAAGCAATTTAAAGAAATGACTTAAAGCTAAGTTCTACTCCTCTAGCATATTTGCATAAATTATACTCCCGCGCCCGCCAGCTGAGTGACTTTGTCACAGAAGGCAACCGGTTCGCTTGCCTGAAGTGGAGTGTTGATATTGTGCATGTTCAAATAAAACCACATCTCTGCGTCCGTTGGCTGAGTGACTTAGTCACAGAAGGCAACCAGCTCGCTTGCCTGAAGTGGGGAATGTGCTGATAGCACGTGTGGTGTATGACATTTTGCTTGCAGTATACATTGTGATAATTAAATATTTTAATTAAATATTTTCATTTTTTAAACTAGGAAGCTGACAATCTTCAAACCAACATTGATTTATGGAATGATGATATGAAAAAATTAGCAAAATCAGAAGTTAACAATAGAGTGAACATGGTAAGCATGGTTATGATATTTTTTGTATTAATATATTGTCTTATTGTAATTCCACTATCCAGCATAATCTAGAAAATGCGGTAATAAGTATGGGCATATTGGCTGGGATTCAGCACTTTAAAACATATAATTCCCAATTGTTGATTTCCCAACAATATGCCGACATGGTGTTTGATTCGGCAGAACAAGAACAAAAGAGAAAAGCAGATGAAAATAATGAGAAAGCCTCTCCTCGCGATCATACATCTCCTTTACGTGACGATTTTTTTGATGGTTATAGTGAAAGTGAGGCGGATGATAGCGGAATAATTAAATGGGAATTTGACAGTGCAATTCCAATATGGCTTGAAAAAGGAATGCTGTATCATAAAGAATTAATTTCGGAAGAAGATGAGGATAAAAGAGTCAAAGACTCAACAAAGTAAATGCTTTATAAATATCATTTTTACACTTTTTTTTACATGATTAAATTATAGTTGAACTTTTTAAAAAAAATAAAAAGGTCGATATGGTGGAGAATTATAGATGGATCAGATTTAGATGTAACTAGAGAATATCTTTCAGAAGAAGAATTTTTAGAATTACAAGAAATTTTAGCCAATGCGCTCAAATTAGAAACTACAATTAATGATTGGAAAATATTGAAATCACAAGCATAGAAGTATTTATGAGATTTATCAAAGGTAAATGGCTATAATTTTATGAAAGTTGTTATATACTTTATTTATAATTATGTAAATTTAATCGCATACTCTGAACTTAGCTAAATAACAATCAGATTAGAATAATTGATGAAAAAGTTCTTCCCGAAGAAACACGCGATGCATTAGAAAAACTAAAAAATTTTCTAAAAATGAGTTCCCAAGAATTTGATCTTGACTTATTTGGCGATTCAAACAACCAAACAAATCAAACAAATGATGTGGAAACAGTTGAAATCGATTACTTAAATGAAGACATAACCTTTATTTTTAATTTGATAAGATTTACGTAAGTACTATACATCTACTGTATGCCAATAGATTTTATTACTTGCTTACAACTTATTTGAATTTCTTTTATCAGTTGTGAAATGATTATGAGAAAAATTCCAAAAAGGAAAAATACAGAAAGAGATATTGATGTTTTTATAAAAAATTATATTTATTCGTGTTTAGATAATATCATGGATCGACACTTGTAAAATTTTCCTTTCTATTTTTTTTTGTCTGCACTAATGTACGTGTTTTCTCATAAATAACAAATAAGTGGTGAACCAGTGTCTTGAGCTTATAGAGTACGTTGTGACAAGTCTCACAAAGGAGATAAAGGATTTCATCTGGATTGGCTCTTTTGTGTATGTTAAATTATACATTATAATGTCAGTTTGAAATATATATCTAAAGCAAAGATCAATTTGTTAATTTACTTGAAAATAAAACTATATCAGTTTATTTAACTATAGATCTTTGGACTGTAAGAAGCAATCATAGATATATTAGAGTAATAGCAATTTAGCTTACTTCTAATTTTACTTTTTGTAAAATTTTACTTACTTATAATCATTTGAAATATCCACATATAGTAGAGGTCATTCATGATGAATTATACCAAATTATTGAATAATAGCATTTAATAAATACTATTTTTACTATTACAACTGATAATGAACTAAATATAGTTAAAAGTATATGTCTTCTCAACCAATCTTTTTTTTATTAAAAGACAACTATGTATAACTCATATATTACAGTTATTTGTAAAAGAAGAATTAAAGTATTGCAAAAATATTCATCAGCAAATTAAAAATTTGCAAAGTTTTTTTAATTATCAAAATAAGTATAATGACTATAATGACTACAACTAGTACAGTTTGAAATTAATAGACTTAAAGGACCTACAATCCATATTGTATACAAATATTATCCTAGTGATTTTTAGTAAATACAGAATGTCTGAAAGTCTATATCTAGGACTGTATCTATAGAACAGTTAGGATATAAACTGATATTAGATATCTTTTGGCCAGAATTAACAATAGATATAGTCAGCGTTAATGTAAACAAAAAGTCCTGAACATAAAAAATCTTAAACATGAATACAAATAGTCTAGTTTGATCTGGTTTATATCTGTATTCACGTCTTATGACAACATTACCTACAATTCTGAAATACCAATAAGTTTTTTAGATATTTTAACTGATATTATAACTTGATAGAATTTTACATTTATTACTTAGAAATGAATTCTTAAATTGCATAATACTATGCATTATGTTTTAACTACATTATTATCAAAAAATGATTATATATTAAATAAGAAAAAAAAAATTAGAAAAATTATGTTTAACATATGAAGAAAAAATGTAAATTTAAATAAATTTTATAAAAATAATTTTTTTTATTTTTTTATTTATTTTAAAAATATATAAAATTTTTTATTAAAATAGTTTTTAAGAAATGGTTAAACTATTAGAACTATTTAAAACTATAACATAATGATTATCTGATACTTTATATTCAATACTTAATATGGTATATCTATATATATATATATGCTTAAATAAATAATTGCATTAAGAATTCAAGAAAATGAGACTATAAACAATTACTTATATGTTATATATAAACCTTTAATATAATGAAGAAATAGAAGCATATATTAATATAATTTGCAGAATCATGAATTAGGAGCAAAAAAGTCTTGGGACTGTGAATTTTCTCTCTGCGAAAGAGCTGGTTCAGTAATCGATAATACAAGGAAAATTTTTTCTAATATACTGAAGGTTAAAAAAAATATTAAGAGACATACATATGTCATTAATGAAGTTTATCGCATCTGTTAGCAATAAAAGGGTGTCAAAAGAAGTACTATGATCATTTCCGAAGTTATTGATACCTGGGCTTATTTCTTCACATTTTTTTTACAAGCAGTGTTAATAGTATATGTTGGTGCTAATTTTTATGTTTTCACTGATTTAGCTGAGTTAGAAATTCCTACCAATTATGATGAACTTGATAAAATTTTAAAGGTCGCACGTATTATTTTACAGATCAAGGTTAATAATATTCTTTCTAATACTATTTATGTAAATTTTATGTGATATCTTATACAGTTTCTTTATGTAGAAGCTACTAAAAAAAATGATGCTAGGATACAAAATTATTAAAGAGAGAGCTGAAAAAGAAAAATTTTTGAAAGATAAAAAGTTAATGAATAAATATGCAGAATATCCTTCTCTACAGAAGAAAAAACAGAAACAGGAGAAGAAAAAAAGACAATAAAGAGGTCTCAATATTTATAATATTATATTGTTTTATAGAATGCTTTGGAATTTTATATCGCGAATTTAAATATAACAGAGTACTTCGAAAATTTACGTTGTGTAGGTTTTCGTAACCCTACGAGGCCCACAGAGTTCTACGCAACATAATACTTCGAAGGTCTATGTAACATAATACTTTGGAGGTTTATATTTCGAAGGACTATATAACATAATACTTCGAAGGTTTATATTTCAAAGGTTTATATAACGTAATACTTCGAAGGTTTATATTTCAAAGGTCTATATA